GGCGTGTGGCACCGCATTCAGTTCCGTACACAATATCTCAAGTGTGTGTCGAGCTAGATGGTGATGGACATCCTTTACTCTACGGTGCCCCGAGAACAAGAGATGTCCTGCGGACGGACGAGAGATGGATCCGATCGCCGGACGAGATCCGAGATCGCCGGACGACGGGCCGAGGCAGCGATGATCCCTACAACTCCATGCCTTCGGCAGCCTTTATCGACCTGGGCCTCCTCGAACGACAGCCCCCACGCCCGCAGCCGTGAGCCAGGTCGGTCGATGGGACCGGCCTGCGCTGGGTGTGTCGAAAGAAAGGATGGTGGGGGGTTGGGCCCTAAGTTAGGGGCCCAAGGATACGAAAGAGAGATAGGCGGGTGGATTGATATTAGAGTGATTTATAGTGACCGACAACCACTTAGAACATCCAAAAAACCGTTGCCCTGGGCCCTGGTAAGGGATGTGCTTTCTGCGAGGCTGAACATTGTAACAATGCAACGCTCTAAGTAATGAGTTAGAACATTGAGGAAAAGTGTCCTTTCTTAGAACATTATCATAAGGGATATGAACATGAGAGAATGCACTTTTGATGAACACGCTCTGTGGAGATGCGCTTGTCTGCAGACTCTCGGCTGTATGCTTAACAACGATGTTCTAAGAAATGGGGATTTGAGATGATTTGAGTATGTTCTAACTCAATCACTGAGAACATGGCAATGTTCTAAGCCCGGATTCTGTGAAACACGTCCTTTTGCTTAGAGGGTTTTGGATTTTAGAAAAACTGTAAGTGGTTGTCCGTCGCTATAAAGTGGATCTATTGTGTTGAGTCTATTTTGGTCCGTACTGGCCTTCCCCCCCAACAAAACCAACGCCACAAAGGACCTTTTCTGCACCCAACCATCCCCGCACAGGCCACGGATCTGCCGCCGCCCGCCCGGCCGGAGCCCGGTGTCCGTGCGAAGCGCCACCACGTGGGCACGAAGAGCTGGACGATCGGTTTGGCACGATCGGTTTGGAAGTTAGGAAGGATGAGTGTGTGCTTTCCAAAGAATTCTCGAATCTGGAGGCGTTTCATCTGACACTGGGGCTCTGGATGGCCCCCCCCCCCGAATCGGTGCATTTTCCGACATCGCTGCCGCCGCGTGATGTCAACCTCTGCTGGGCTGCCATCGTCATGCCCTGTTTGGACCCCGGCGGCCAAGCCGCGGGGCAACACTGGGGGTCGGTCACTAGGCAAGAGCGAAGGATTAAGAAGCAGGGCTCTGAGGTGAACCTGGGCTTTTTGAGCCCAGAGCCTGGTGCTCAGCCTAGAGGAGCGCCCAGGGTTGTTGGGTCGACGATTTATCCAAGAGAGGTTGAGAGACCTTATGGGGATAGGCGATATATATATATATATGGCTGTTCAACCTTTCTAGGTCTTGCTGCCAACCCCATCCAACTCCCCAGATGACCACTGGACGACTCGACACAGCCGCTGGGTGCTCCTCGAGGTGGAGCGAAGAAGATTTCCTCCCAATGTGCTCCCGGCCCGGCTGGGAGGTGAACAATTAGAAAGCATCTGGGCAAAATCATATGGTCCTCCTGCTTGTCAGGTGAGAGCATGTTCCACCATCTAGAGAGGCCAGTGGCCGGTGATATATCTCTTCTACCAACGTTTGGCGGGTCTACTTGCGATGATTTCGCCGATGAAGATTTGATAGTGCTGGGGGATCCTTACCTGTGTATGCATTTTGCCCAGAATCTCGAAGATGGAGAAAATCCGAAAAGCACCACGAAACCACCACAGCTGATCATAGGAGGGTCGTGGACCAAGGTATTTTGTTCCAGCGGAGCGGACCAAGAGACGTGGTGAGGGGATTTTTGTTCATCAAGCACATCTCCCGTTGAGCGTCCGAAAAGCACCCGGAGCCAATGCCACGACAGGCAAGTAACCAGTTTGACAGCCTTGTCATGCCAGGTCAACGCTTCTAGTGGAGGCCCTTTTTGTGTGTTTCGCTTCGGAAGTGTTTCGCACCATGGACGCTGACTTGCACCAGTTGCCAACACTGGGCACTGGGCACCAGGACTGGATGGAAAGGCCGCCCTACGAAGCCAAAGGGACAGACCTTGGAGCCAATAGTCCGGACCCGACCCGCGCCCTTTCAGTTCGCAGTTACCCCCGCAAGAAAAGAGATCAAGACCACGTAAACCAGGCATCATGGCTTTCACATCGGAGAGAAAGAAACGCCTTCTCGTGGCAGCATTCAGTCGACTCGTGATGAACTCAGGTCCGACTGTTGGGTCCCAGGTTTCCCTTTCAGGACGAGCCCGACTCGACCCGGCAGACCAGTCCGCCGGTCCCACCGGCCCGACTCGCCTCGACTCGGTTGGGAGCTGGTCCTTTGATTCGGCTGTCTTTGGACAGCCGAGCTCGGAGGGCCACCAGAAGCAGAACCTGGAAAGCCCTGCATGGTGCAAAAAGGTCACCAGAGACATACAGAGAGCCGGGGGAAGAGAGAGACCTGGCAGCCGGCACAGGCAGCGCACTCGGGACGTGTTTTGCGACGTTTTTTCTCGGAACCGCTCCGCCGCCAGGAACTGCAGCGCCACGCCGAGGCCGGGATGGGCCGGAGGACGTCGATGGGAGGCTCTACTTCGCCCTTTGGATGGGAATTTGGGACGTGTTGAGATGGATTGGATTGTGGTTGGGGTTCAATGGTGCGTTCATGTTGCGGCCGAGGTGGCACAGGGTCTTGGCCAATGCCCCCACATCTGCTTCGGAACCACGAAACGCCTGAGAGAGAGAGAGAGCGCGCGCCGCTGCATTGTCACGGTCGATCTGTGGCGGTCGGTTGTTGTGGGATCTTGTGGCTGATGCCCCACTTCTCCATGTCAAGCTGGCCCAGCTGTTGCCAGACCAACCATGAAGTTTGTCCAAATGCATGTTAAAGCCAACTGCCCGTGACAAGAACCAGGTCGAGTCGCCTATCTCCAGGAGCGTGGGCATCCATGCGGTACCCATGTTTGAACCAATCGGACGCGTTGCAACCAGGGGCAGGTGCTTGAATATTGGCTGAAGATAGAGCCGAGCATTTCATAGTTCATTATGTCAATTCATGTCCATGTTCCATGTGCAGCCACATGGACCCCCCCATCATTCGATTCTTTTTTGGCCATCTACTCCGAAACCATGGCATCTGAACCGACCTTCGTCGATCGGGAACCATGGCCGAAGCCGAACCGCCGTCCGATGGCCCGAGCGGGGCTGTTGCGGAGCACAGCCCCTGCAGCGCAAGACACAACGAGCTTCCGGGTGATAACGCAGGATAACGCAGGGGATGTGATTTGCACAACTGGCTTTTGGGGACAAGGTGATGCTGAAGGGTAGTAACTCCGAATCTTCCCACCTAATTCTTTTCCCCTCCTAGCAGCATCATCAGTGATTCTGTTCATGAAGCCTTCGTCCATTGATCTTAGGTGCACTAGATCACAAAGAGGGACCTATATACCACCAGAGAAACCGCTGAGACAGTGTTTGCCATGGGCATCACACGACGGTCAAAAACTGTTCTTCACCGTTTCCTCACCATGGGCGCTGTGTGTGCTCAGAACGCTGCGGTCGAGGCGTGCCAGGTGCCAATCCGCCGGGACAGCGGTGGCGGAGACGGGACATCGGTGCCGGCCCATCCGCGCTCCGAGCGCTGGCGACGTCGGTCGACCGCCCCCGCGCAGCGAGCTGCGCCGGTCATGTGTCCCGCTCCAGGCTGAGAATGGATGGGTTTGTCAAGATGCCAGCTCCAGCTGCCCGAAAGGCGTGCGATGTTGAGGAAACGGCGTAGGTGCTGGGTCGGGCAAACATGAGAAAAGTCACGGTACCAAGATGATGTAGACACAAACCTAGGCAAAAAGTTAGCACACACACAAAACACACTTATATAACAAAAATGAAACACATGAAATCTATACATGCAATTCGGTTGGAATGTGCAAAAACACTCCGCGAAAACCATCGAACATGTAGAGTTTCACTCGCTACTGTGCCGTTTATGCGGATTTCATACACCTGCACCTGCACCTTCCAAGATCTTCCAGGGGCGTCCTGGCTGGAGATCCATAAGATTCCATAAGTAGTGCAGGGTCTTTCATTGATGCTGGTATATAAATGTGTAATATATAGTAACCAACAAAGAGGGCCTCTGTGTTCCTTTTGTAGTGCCTAGACGGACTAAACATGGCCCTTGGTTTTGGACGCAAGCTTTGCCACTCCGAAATGTTTGACACCTGCATTTCGTGACTGGCCTGTAGCTTGTGAAATCAACTCAGGTCAACCATTCTAGTTGGCCTTTCCCTCCTTCACGCCAAATGTGGTAGGAGCCAGGGACACCCAACACGAATGACGTAAACGGAGTCTCCTGACAACCCACCTGGCAAAATGGGCAACAAGGTCCGTAGAAGAGAACATCCGGACGTTGCAAGGAACGAGCTAAGGTTTGGCTGAGCACATGCAGCTGTACAGTATAAGCACAGGAACATTATTTTCTTCAGAACGGCCATGAATCTGCCCGTGCTGTTTCCATTCCACAGGGTGGTGATTTTCCGGACCCAGCCCAAGACAGATGGATTTATATAACCTAGGCACATATATATATATATATACTTCACCCGCAGGCATCCCAGGGCTGTGACGCAGATGATCGGGGTGTTTGGCACCCTGGTGTTTAGACCAATGCCAATTTGTTCCAGGCTTTGTCCCTCGGACGTCAGTCTCCAAGCTTCTTGGCAGCGTCCCGGGGATCGCGCCGGGATCTTCCGCGGGGGATCGGACCCCGTCGGGCGACCGCAGCATGTTTGGTCTTTGGGGTGGCTGAGAGGGTCTGTTTGCAGCAGGAGGGCAACACTGGAGCTGGGTGAGGACACGTCCTTCCAGCTATATATATATATATATACATCAGGATTGATGGTACCTCGTTTTCGGTGTGGGGCCCAGATGCTTGTGGAACCTGCCATTAGGGATCCAGTCGTACCGAACCTCAGAAGGCACGACTGGAGATCCTTTACTTTTTTGTGGTTGCCTGAATTGAATGGGTCAACAGTTACTGCAAGGTGTTGCCTGGCCTGGAAGGCCTTCCTGGAGGAAGGGATGAAAAACAGGATCAAACCCAACACCCATTCGGTGCATCTCTCCCCCGGCCCGCCCCGGCCCTGACGTCAAACCTCTCCTGTCGTTCTTCCACGTGGGTCACCGGATCGGTGGCGAAGCCGCTGGGAAGCGACGCTCCGATCGTCCTTGCCACTGAGGCAGCAGCCCGTGGGGGACCCAAGCGCGACAGCGCTTTCGCTTCGAGGAGTCCTTTCGCTTCCAGGCGTTGGTCGGTGGACACTCCGCAGTTGGAGGGAACGTGGGTCGTGGAATGGGACCATCCGATGGGAGAAAAAGACGACCCGTTTCTTAAGCGTGAACGAGGCTGAATGGATGGCATTGGGGGAAGAAAGGCTCGTTTCAACACCTGATTTTTTTTGGAAGAAAGGCTCGTTTCAACATCTCGTTTCAACACCTTCTTTTGGGACAGCCAATTATGGCAACTGGCACCCTTCCCTCCACAGCTCAACCGAGGTCCTGCACCGCGACGCTTTGGCCGGCGGCCTCAGTCCACACCGACCGGGGGGGGCAGCGGACGCCGTGGATGTTGGGGGGGGCGTTTTCTCGGCCCGGCCGGCGGGAGACCTGCTGCCCTTCCACTCCCCCCGGATTGGATAGTCACCCATGGACTTCCAATTGTCCTGTTTGAGATCAAGGTTTCCCTTGTCATCAATCATGAGGGTGGTTCTGGCCAGTCCGAGTCGGTTGAAAGACACGGGGCATGACTTCGAATCATTCGGCACGTACAAGTGAGATCTGGGTTTCACATGGACCCTACTCAAGGGCCGGCTCAGAAGACACATTTGCTAGGTGAACGGCACCCAAAGGGCCATAGATGAAGTCACATTACACATACGTCCCAGATTTTCCTAAGAGGAATGAGGACCCTCACACCCACTTAGATATGGTCGGGTTTCGGTCTAAGGTTTTTGCATGTTTTTGCTGTTTGAGCTGCATTCTGTCGGTCGAGGACCGAGTACGACGGATCTGCTCCGTCGAAAGATCGATCTGATCAGGAAGGGGGAGAAGATCTATCTCAGAAGATGGAAGCCGAGTCCTCTCTCGCAGGCCAGGGGTCATCTCTCTCAGGCCAGCGGTTTGTGTGGTTTTTGGACATTCCCGGCCTTCCTTGTTTTGGGCCACCTTCTTTAAGAACCAATTGCCGGGAGGTTGTTTTTTTGGACGCCAGGAACGGCGATCCCCCGATCCCCCTGGTAGTTGGACCTGGGCCGATCAGCTCGGCCGAGCTCGGCCGCGCTGCGCAGGCACGCCCCAGAAAGAGACGGAGGGGACGGACGAGCAGCTTGGCCTCTAGGGGCTTGGTGGGATGAAGAGGCACTCGTGCATCAATCAAGCCCATTGAATAAAATCCACACATTTGGACAGCATCCTGGTGCCCACTCTATCCTGCAAGGAAACGCTATGATGTTTCGACCTCCTGGTCTGCTCACCCCCTTCTATTAGCCCCCAAAAAAGCGGTCTCGACTGAACCACAACTGCCCAGTTACAGCGCCATGTGCTGTGAGAGGGGACGATCGGAGGGGGGCTCGGTGTTCCATCGGGCTGAGAAGCCCTTGCATGGAATCATGAATCTTGTGGATGACACCCAGTCTTGGGTATCCAGGCTTTGGACCTGGATCTCGAACATTCCAGTCAATCTGGATTTCTAGATCCGAGCTGGTGCCCCAACAGTCGGACCCTAAACCCTAAACCCCTTTTGGAGGCCCAGCTTAGCTGGTGACCGGGGTGCAGATTCGGAAACCATTTTGGTGCCGGTGTTTTCGATGGGAGACTCCAGGATGTATAAGTTGACTCCCAGTTGGTTCTTTGTCTTAAAAGGTCGGGGTTCAGGTTGAACGTTGTCGCGCCCAGGGAAAGGTCGCCAGCCCGGGATCCAAGAACGGAGGTTTTCCGTGCGGAGGTGGAGGCTTCAATGCTCTCATCTTGAGAGCCTCCCTCGCCCCAGGAGCAATCAAGTGCATGTTGATGTGTTTGTTCGGAATGTTGCATCTTCGCTTAGCAACGAACGTCCATCGTTCAAACCTCCATCGTTCGCGCTACTGTTCCAACGAAGCCCGGCGGAACTCCCAGGGAACTCCTGAAGCGAGTGGTGCTGTGGTGATCAGGCTCTCAGGTGGCCCTAGGTGGTGGGGCATTGCCCTGGGCCTGAACTGTTTAGGCCTTATATCATATAGTTATTGTGTAAAGCATAGAAACAGAGACGAAACTCGATGAAGAGGATAGTTAAGTTAAGACAATTCGAGTCATGTTTTTATCATCAGCAACTTTTTATAAACAAGTTGGGAATGCCTACTTCTTTCCGCACTCCATTCCTGGTTGCACCCAAACCCAAAAAAGGACACAAAGCTGGAGGCTTGACTCCGGATTTGTGGTCAGCGCGTGTGGCTGCACTTGTGCCGTCCCGAGCTTTGAGGTTTCACCAGATGCCGGGGGGCTCGAGTTACGTGCGGGCTCG